TATTTTCATCACATATTAGAAAGCACTTGGTGCGATGGCAAGTGCCTTCGCCCATGAGCGGTAGGTCTCGGGTTCGAGATTTGGGAGCAGCCTCTCCATAAATGGGGGTAAGGCTAGCCGACATTCACCTCTCCCAGACCCTGCGTAAAGCGGGAGCCTTGTGCACTGGGTACGACCTTTATTAGAAAGCAACTCAACGAACTCCGTAAGCCACCCAGAACAACATTCAAAATAATTAAGGAAAAACAGGAAACCATGGTTAAAACTGAAAAATAAATATAGAAAACCCACAATACAATGAATTGCTTTCTCAGGAAAACCATAAAATGATAAAACATTACGAATTAAAACAAAGGAAGATACAAGAAGGCGAAATACACAACAAAATATATCCCATTTCCCGGAGCTAGACATAACCGCTTATCTCAGAGTCCCCTCTCAACAGTCTCTTTGGAACCCAAATGAAATCCTTGAATTTATAGAATTTCAATTCCAAATATTTATCCTCATACTTCAAAGACCATCTCCAACTGAGACAATTGTAAATTACCTCAACCCGAACAAATACGAATCTGTACAGCGGACGATTGTCTATAGCCGGTACAATACAGAAAATTTGGTCCAACTACAAGGGTTGGTCCTATGCTAAACTACCAAACTAACCTGCAGCAATTACGACTTGTAAGTTTTATTTTGACAATAATAAACATTGAACTCTGTCCTAAACATTTAAATTTCATTCACAAATGAATTCATTTGCAGATAATCCAAACCTTTTTTTTTTTTTTTTTTGCCATTTGGTCCCGGAAAGTATGACAGTTCACTTTATAAACCAAAAACATTATACCAATTGCTCCCACAACGAAGCCTTAACCCACATGCAATCCAAACCCAAAAGAACCCATAACATCACAGTCCAAAACGGGAGGCAAAGCCCTTGTAAAAATTAGTAATATGGGGATGCAGAACCCTAATTTTACCCAAAATTCAACAAATAATCTCAAAAAGTTTGAAAACTTTGAAAAATTACTGTAATTTGTTGACATATTTGAATCGCAAAAACAGACCCCCAAAAGTATGCGTAATTTAATACATCGAACAATCAGAGTCAAACATCGTTCTTCAAGCTAAAGGTGGAAGCTTGAACAACTTTGGGAAAACACCAAAAAGTGATAAAAATGTCGCAACGAATTCAGAAACTAAAAAAAAGGGTTTTGGAAAAGAAGCGCTTACTCGTTTGTTTTGGCTGAGAAATCATAGAGCCGGATTTGGGAGACACAGGATTCTGGAGGGACCTGGGGTTTTCAGAAGTGAGCAAGAAGATGACCTATGATACTTCGGCTTATTTCTCTAATGCCACTCATTCAGTCATTTGGGTTTATCGGTAATTAGAGTTGTAATTTAATTCAAATTCAGGGGTATTTTGTTTGGTGAATTTTTCGATTAGTCCCTTGCTCTGCCCAATGTCGTTTGTAAAAGAACGTACTTCGTTCGGAGAAAGGGAAATCTTGTGATTAAACTTCATTGACATTGAACTGAAATTACAATTCTAGCCTCTCTGAAATTACCAAAAAGTACATTCATCAATTAGGGCATAGGGATTATCAATGCGCGGGCCCAGCCCAACTCTTAATGTTGGGCTCGAGCCCGGCTTAGGTTGGACCATTTTGGGCCTAGGGATATTTCGGGTCGAGTATGCTTCTGGTTCTAAAGCCTTAGCTAAAACTCGTTAACATGAATCAAAGTAAGTCCGTATAACAAAAATATGCTTATATAGAAAGGCAGAAATTGAACTCATTACTTTGGGTGTAATGGTGAATGCTTTTAACCGTATAAGCTACAACTCTTTTCCAAATACAAAGGGCCAGTTTGGGATTGTTGTGTTTAAAAAAAAAAAAAAAAAAAAAAAAAACTACTTATGTTGTGCATTAAATATAATTAGCTGAAAAATAAAGTGGTTGAGTGTTTGATAAACTGTATTTTTAAAAGTGGTGTGAGTATGAAAAACAATATAAAAACGTTAGTAAATTTTAATGTAAAAGCAGTAACAAAAATATACATGATAGTGTGGGCGATGGTGATGATAATGGTGGCGAGGCCAATGGTTGTGATGGTGGTGGTGGTGATTCCAATAAAAGGGTGTGGTGGTTGGGCTACAGAAGTAACAATGATGGTAAGGGAGGCGACAACGGCGATGGTGGCAGTTATGGTTGTGATGGCAGTGGTAACGGTGACGGCAACGATGGTATTAGCAGTTGTGGTGGTAGTGGCGGCAGGTATGGTTGTGGTGGTGGTGGCAACAATGATGGTAGCAATGGAAATGGTAGTGTAATAGGATAGGGTTTCTAATAGTTGGTGGTAGTCACTTTGTTTTCTAAGGATAAAATGTGTATAGAATAATAAATAATGTCAATTTAAAAAATTAATGAGCGTATAACATGAATTAAAAATATTCATTAAAGGCTCAACTCTGCTTTTTCTTAAAGCATCTTTTAAAAGTTTTTGTTTGAAGACCATTACTTTTAAAATAATTAGAGTATTTTATTACTATCAAACATTTTTTTACTGCTTAACTTTAAAGTGAAACAATTTTTTTTTTATAAAAATAACCTAAATAAGATATATAATAATAGAACTGGGTTTGATACGTTTACCGAACCAAAAATAGGATATTGATTAACGTACCAAACCTTACATACGCTAATATTAGTTACCACTGTCGTGCCGCAAAGCTGGTATGTCGAATGAGTTGGTTGGTAAGGTTGGTATTGGTCCTGTCAATTAATTTAGCATGTGATTGTTTCATTTGGACCCAAAATTTATTTTTTGTTTTAAGATTCCTAACTATTTTCTTCCAGCCGAAAACCCTTTTTTTTTTTATTTTGGTGAAGGCCTTAAAAAGTGTAACATACACATTAAGATGTTACCTAACACCATCTTTAAATTTTTTATGTAGTCGTACAAGACACCAAAAGGAACCCAACTTTTGAACCAAACCAAAAGGCATCAAGGTTTTTTTTATTTTTTTTAAATTTTTTTAACAAAGGGTAGATTCATTACCGAAAAGAACAAGTACAACAATGGCCCAAAAATAAGTTGAGCATAAATAGAAAAGATGGACCATAAACAACCAGATGACAAAGCTCCAAAGCCAGCCTTGCCCAGCAGTGAGCACACATAAACAAACTCTTTGCACCCAAAATGTGCCCATTTTTACTTATTTGGGCCATTGGAGTAAAATATAGTATTTGAAGGATTAATATGCAAGAAAGCTAACTTGGAAAGATATTTGGCTGCAAGTGGATGAGTTTGGCACTATAATATTGTTTTTCCCATTTGTTTGGGTGGTGGAGGTTTGTCAAGCCTTTGTTTAATCAAGATACATGCATGTATTGCAAGTGGATGGGAGAGCTTTCGGATAAGGATAATATGAAAGAAGCCAACTTGCTTCTTTTAATTGTTAGTTTATTACAAGTTGGGGAGACATGTGCTAAAAACATGTGGTGGAGATGCAAGTTTCCCTTTTAAATATTATTTCTACGTGCAAGTTGGCAAAAGCAATGCAAGCTGCCCAAGTTTCTTTCGGGCAAGTACAAGGTTTTCAGCATGTGGCTCTTTTCAGATCTCTATTTAAAGGGGCATATACACAAGGATTATGGACACTCAATCAAACAAACAAATACAAGCATTCATCCATTTTAGGATTAGCCCTCACAAAAGCCATCTTTTGTCTAGTTTATTAGCTCTGCTGCTCACTTGTAGTATCGATCTCCTTTGTAGTTTTCATGTACAACTCATTTTCAGTCATTTAAATTACAACCAATCTGCAATATTAGTCACTTTCCTCAGTCATTTACATTTCCGAGCAACCTTGTCATTTACATATTGTTCTATCTCTCCATATAAGTAAAGTCCTTATTTTTAAGGCAAAGAAAGAACCTTGATTTGAGCAACTCCCACTCAAATTGCACAATATCTTGATTTGAAGTCAAAAGGCGCAACCTCAGTCATTCAAATCCTATCTACTAGTAGTGGCACGCCCGCACCCACCAATCTCGTATGTGAAGTAAATCCCCAGCTTGCCTGCGAGGCCCATGGCACATTTAAGGAGCAAACACAAACCACACGAAAACCCTAGAAAGCTAAGCTTCCTGAAGTTGCAAACGCAGGCACCAGAAAACCACATGACGATCATCTCGATCTAGCTCCCTCCACAAGTAATCAGGATCACGCAAGAAAGAACCCAATAATGGTGAAGAAAGAGGATGCATTATCCTCCCAAGGACCAACACAAGGATTGTCGCCACGAGACCAAGGAAGCACGCTGGTAGAAAGAACTCACGAGCAACATCGCCAACAAGGGCAAACAACGGGGAGGACTAACAAGGGCCAAAAAGGATGGTGATGCGAACACCCGATCTTTAGCCAAAGCTAGGGCCGGCATCGATGCAAATCGATGAAAATGAAAACCACTCACACGGCGGTGAGAAAGACTCATTGGGGGAGAGAAGGCTCTCACAGGAGGAGAGAAGGACCACTCCAAATGCATCATTCACACACGTTTTGCAAAACTAAACTTCTTCTAGTAATCTACTATACCTATTACCTACCATCAACATTTATCATTATCATTCGCACATTTGGTATACCAGGCAGCAATTCATTAACATTCATGATACAAGTTAAAAGTTACAAAATAACGGCATTTTCAATCAAGAAACCCACATTTGCTGCCTTGCAAATTCTACACATGCACATGTGATGGTGGAAGTTGGTTATTTAAATCCCATATTTTTTTTTTCTTAAACAAACGATATCATCTATACTTAAAGTTGGCCACTTGGCTAGCAAGATTGAAATGCTAAGTGGCCTCAACATTTCTACTAAAGCTCTAAATTTATTGAAGTCCAGTCCAGTCTAATCCAGTCCACCATCTCACTTTTTGTAATAAAATCATTTTGTAAAACGTTACGAAACACTCCTAACGAGCAACACGCGCGTACGAAACCCAATTATAAGGCAGCAAACCTAGAAAGAGGGCTTGACAGATTAAATTAATGGAAGACACTTCCACAAAATACCTTATCTACATACAAAATAGGAACCTGATTCCCCTTTGAAGGGACAAACTATAATTTACTGAATAGTTGGTTTAGGTGTTTTTATGCTCTAAGAAGCTGTACAAAAACTCTCTTGTCAGGCACTTAATTAACTTCAAGGCTGTTCCATTGAGCTACCACCAACAGATCCCTCAGCTGGTAACTCCACTTTTTCTCCCTCCTCCGCCGTTAATGATGGCTGAATATCCATGTCTTCGGATGCATTTTCTGGCATTGTCCCAGAAACCTGACAAGTATCGCCCACTTTAGCTTCAGATTTGGACTCCTCTGGTGTTTCCAAGCTGCCCATAGGCCCTGCCTCCGACAAGCCGTCAATGTTGTCACCCTCCACAGCCATGTTAACCGGAGGCTGATCCACATTTTCAGATGCAACTTCTGGGATTGTCCCGGAAACCTGAGAAGCATCAGCAACTTTAGCTTCGGATTTTGATGACTCTGGTGATTCGGTGCTGCCCACGGGCCTTGCCTCAGATAAACCTTCAACACTATCGCCCTGATTGATCAAGATAACCGGAGTTTGATCCATGCTTTCAGACACATTCTCTGACAATTCCACACAAACGTGAGAAGCATCAAGTATTTTAGCTTCACATTCCAACTCCTCTGGTGATTTGGAGCTGCCTATAGGCACTGCTTCAGACGAGCCCTTGACACCATCATCCACCATGGTCGAGGTAACCAGAGGCATATCCACAGATGACACACAACTTCTGGCTCCCTCTCACAAGCATCAGGAGCATTCATCTGAGTATCCTTGTCAGCTACAGGTGTTTTTGGACCCTCCGTCACTGAGCTGCCATCTAGAACCTCAGATGGATGATCTATACCTCTTCCTTCTGTCTCTAAGGAGGATGCAGCCAGGTCAATGTCCTCCGCCATTCTATCTTCTAGCGGCACCATGCCAACCTGAGTCGTACACATGATATATACATTACTAATGAAATTAAGAGCAATAAACCAACTTTGTGATTGTCTGTGGACATTTGTATGCATTTGAATTTCAAGTGTAATTGTTATATGCTTTGAGATATTACAGTTTATAATTCTGTTTAGTAGGAAGCTCTGAGATAAGACAGGTTTTGTTTTGCGGGTGTGGTGGTGGCGGTAAGGTTCGCTCTTGTAATTTTGAAACACAAGCCTAGCTTCCAGCATTAAGGTACACACCTATTTATTTGAAAAAATACAATTGATAAAAAAATGTTTATCTTAGTTCCCAATGAGTGCAACGAACCTTGGATGCATCGGAACGATCACTTGTCTCAGGTTCAGAAATCAATGATTCTAACAGCGGCGCTGAGCTGCTTATAGGATCCTTCTTGGATAACCGCTGAACCTCCTCTTCTGAATCAACACTTTCTCTTACAAGCAAATCCCCAGAAGATCTGGGTGTTTCCATTAGATGACCCATCTCGTCTTCCTTTCCAGTTGATTCCTCAAGTTGTACTGAGCTGCCATCTTGACCCTTCTCAGAAGAGCCCTTAGTATTTTCCTGCTCTTTTGTCAAGGAAGATGAAGGCAGATTTTCTAACATCTTTTCGGGCACAAATGTGTCAACCTCAGAGACAACCATTTTATCAGAAACTAAAGCTTCAGATGCGTCCCCCAACATTATTGATCTGGCTGGACCGCTCTCAGATAAGCATTCAATCTTTCCTTCCTTAACTGCAACAGTAGATGATGGCACAATAACACTTTCTGATATATTTTCGGGTTGGAGCTCACTAACCTGAGAAACATCCATTTCAGTATCAGATCCTTTCGATTCTCCCAGTAAGTCTGAACTCCCACATAAATGTTCCATAGATGTTCCATCAATCTTGTCTTCTTCCACTGGTACTGGACTGCCGAGTAGACGCTTTCCAGATATGTCAGTATCTCCTTCTGGTAGATCCTCATCAATCTGAGATGAATTAATTAGAGCATCTCTTTCGGCTCTAGAAACTTCTGGTTCCTCCACAGGTAATGAGCTACAAACTTGAAAAGTCTTAGATATATCCTTAGTCATCCCCTCCTCAGTCATTCCTTCTGATAAAATATTTTCTTGCACAGTTCCATGAACCTGAGATAAATCCATTTTAACTGTTAAAGCTCCAGAACCTTTAACGTCTTCCAGTAGTACTGAGCTGCAACTTGGCCTCTTCTCAGATGAACCCTTAATCTTTTCTTCCTGCATATTTAAAGATGAAGGAAGATCAATTTTTTCAGAGATATGTTGTGGCGATTTAACATTCATTTCAGTGACATGGTGATCCTGATCAACTGGAGATTGTGAGCTGCTACTCTGGCATTTCATGGATGAGCCCTCCACTGTTTCCGCTCCCCCTACAGAAGATGACAGCAAGACTTCTGATTTATCTTCTGATACAAATTTACCATCCTGAGAAACAACCAAGGCAGGATGAGAAAGTTTTTGGTTCTCCTGTGCCCTATAGCTGCCAACTTGAGCTCTATCAGATGAGTCATGAATTTCTCCCGCCACTATTAAAGAAGATGAGGGTAAAACCGTTTCCAATACTTCTTCATGTGGACAACTAACAGCATGAGAAATATCCATTTGATCACCCTCAGCAGGGACCACTTCCTTATTGCAAGCATCAATACTACCATCCCCAATCATTTCAGTTCCAAGTTCCAAGATGCCCTTTTCAGAAGGAATAACATGCATAGTGGTATTACGCCCTGAAGCACCACCAACTAATTCATGAGAAGCTTCAGAATCATCAATCTTGGATGAAAGTTCTGAATTTAAACAAATACCTTCATTATTAACAACTTCAGATTCTGTAAAAGGCATGTCAACTTTGTCAAGAGAACCCCGCCCAGAATCAATATATAGCATTGAGGGAATAATTGTGGAATTATCATGGCTCTGAGGAGAATATTGTGTACAACCTTCTGAAGCAGGCTCATTCTTTCTTCCAGGGTTATTCTCAGCCATAACAGGAGGCACTACATCCCCTAAACCCAGAGACGATGGTGCACTTTCTCGAGGACAAACATTTTCAGATGACGTGAGCACAATGGTTTTTCTATCATGAGGGGAAGATTCTTGGGACTCTTTTGAAGAATGCTCTGATTTGTCTGCTGAATTTATTTTGGTCATTTCAGTAACACCAGGAGCAGCAACTGAATGATCTGGACTTGAAGTAATAGGTGAAGGGTCTTCAGAATGATAGCCGGCATCCTCAGTAATACAAGGAGATGTTGGATTCTCTTTAGCAAAACTCCCTTTTTTGTTTTCAGAATCTACCATGGCAGGAAGGCCCACCTCGCTTGACTCGATTGGGACCCTAGGAACAGGAGGTGTAACACCAAGATGAAGACTGGCATTATCAGTATCCTTGGACATTAAAGGGTGCTCAACAGAAGAGGATTTATGAGACTCTACTGAAAAAGATTCAGTTTTCTGTCCAGAATCTCTCCCAATCACCTCAGCATGCTCAATGTTACTTTCCAATATTAACGATGAATTCAACACACCACCAGAAGACCCTATACTAGAAGTAGGCACATCAGCATCTCGAGCCAATGTCTGAACAACAGTATCTGTTTTACTCACCATAGTCGAACCATCAACACAGAGTTGTTTTGAGTCTTCCAATTCTTTAGTGGAGCCTAGAGCTGCCTTGCCCTCGTGTTGGTCCATATTTGTGATGGGAACATGGGTTTCATTCAAAGCAGGTGGCTTGTCCCTCTCCCCTTCTGCACTAACACCAGTCCCAGATTGCTTCTTGTAATTTGCTGGAAGGTCAAGTACACGGGCTGCTGCTTCCAAAGTTGACACAATTGGAGCTGCTTTATCCTCCAAACATTGGTTTTTGGCTAATTCCACAGAAGCCTTACTTGATACAGGTACACAAGGGACAACCCTACCTTCTCTCCCAGATGACTCAGGAATTTTAGCTTTTGACAAACGTGTTCCGGAAAAGACCTCCTTCATCACACGAGCAACATCACTTACATCAGCAGTCTGGATACGGCCCAAAGCAGAACTCTTATCAGAGAATCCTGGAGGAATGTCAAGTGTTGACGAAGAATTTGAAGGCTGCTTACCGTGGGTTGAAAAGACTGGCTCCTCTTTTCTCTTTGAATCATGACCCACTAAACTGCTAGCTAAATGTGCTTGACTTGCTTGGGCCTGAGTACCATTTGTCAACTCCTGTCCATCAGTACCCTGCTTACTTCTCAGTGCAGCAGACTTACTCCCGAATGAATCAACAGATGCATTCTGTGATTCAAACCTTAAGTTTGGATCCTGACCTGCTGGACCATCAGAAACAGAAGGTAACACCGGAGCCTGCTTCCTTCCCCTACGACGGGGTGCTTCGGCTCTGTTTGAAGTCTTTCGACCTTGTCTTTTGACTTGTACTGTTTCAGAAGGGCAAGGAGTGAGAGATTGAGAAGCTAGAGGAGCAGAAGGGTTGGAAGGCATTGACTGCGAGCTAGGAGCAGTCTTAGCAACATCATAGTTTGCCTCACTGGTGTTTTCCACTGCTGGAGGTGCAGTTATGGGAATTGGAATAGCAGGAGCTGCAGCACCTTCATTCATTTTAACAGTAGAATTGCATGCAACAACATTTTGACTTTCTCCCAATGCAGGACCTGTCAAATGTTAAATTAATTCATGTGAGGAAAATATAATCATGAATTCTGTTGTAAAAAAAAATTTCAGGCATGCATAAATGCACAGTGTTTACCAAGGGATCTGACGGATGTATCATGCATCATTGTTGAGCTTGTTATTTGCTTGGCTCGGGCAAAATTTACTGACTCTTCGGTTAAGTTCAGATCCTGACCAGCTAAATCCTCAGCCTCTTGCTTACTTTGCATGGCAATGTCTTTCCTTCCAGATGAATCCCCAGGTTTATCCTGTGGTTGCAGATTGGGTTTCAAATCTTGACCAACTAACACATCACTAACAGCAGGTGATATTGGTGCCTGTTTCCTTCCCCTACGCCGCGGTACTCCTACGTCACCTTGCGCCTTCCGGTTTTGCCCTTTTGTTTGCATGGGTACAGAAGGGGAAGGAGAAGATTGAGACAAAGGAGCAATAGATGGAGAAGAAAGGTCTGGCTGCGAACTCAAAGCTACAGCATTACCAACTTGGTGATCAGCCCCACTCACAACTTGTAAGGGAGCAGAACCAGAAAAAGAATCAGGGTGTTGGACTGCGGAAGTACTAGAAACAGTTCCACTCATGCCAATGGCTTGATTTTCTAGTGGATTCACAGATGTGTTCTGTGATGCTTCATTTTGTTTTGGATCAGGACCAGATACTCCACCAACACCAGGTGATATTGGAGCCTGTTTCCTTCCCCTACGCCTGGGTGCTTCTGGTCCACTTTGAGTCTTCCGACCTCTTCCTCTTGATTGTGCTGATGGACAAGGGCCAACAGTGGTCGTCTGAGAATCAGGAGTAACAGAAGGTTTAGGAGCAATTGGCTGAGAACTAGGTGAGGCCACAATACTAGTATGTTGTACAATTCCTCCAATACTCTGTGCGTTAGCAGAACTAGTTGATGAATCAGGGACCAAGTTTGTGGCAGGGCTAGATGCCATCCCTCTTTGCAACCCAGTATCCACTTTAAAAGTTCCAGAAGGTGCTGTAATAGCCATCGCATTTGGTGATTGAACTAATGTTGCTCTTTTTGGCCTTCCACGGCCTCGCTTAGCTGGTGGGGTAACCTCTTTACTTTGTTGCATCTGGGAAAGGTCCACAGAGGGTGACGATATGTGTTGTGGAAGTGGAGCAGGAAGTTCTGTTTCACAAACAGCAACCACAGACCCATTGTCACCTTTTGGCATGTTTGACTCTCTAACTTCTTCTTTTGTTTTTGTGGGGGAATCCGGAGATTCGGCCTGACATAACTTTTCAAATTCCTCTTCTGTCCATTGCTCTTCATATGAACGCACCTAAAAAGCATTAAGAAAAGGGTTCATAATCAATTAGCAGGTTTGTGGTATAAGAAACACAAGGATAGAGAGGAAACATTTATGCTGCTAGAATCCAATATGACAAACAAACCTCTCTTGCCCGTTTTCCCCGGCCATAACGTTGAGTATCAAGGCCCCCGAGAGACCCACCCTTCCGCTTCACCCCATCATTAGACATTTCACCAGTTTTTGGAACCTCATATATCTTCATTGCTTCACAGAACTCCTTCAAGTCATCATCTGTAACAAGGCGAGAAGGCAAGGGAGGCAGAGTCTCAGAACCATCCATGCCTTGTACACATACTAACTTTCTCCATGTTTCCTGCAAAATTAATTTTTTTTAAATGCTGCCACTTAAGAGAAGCAGATAGCTTTCGATAATATACAAGGATACTTGTACAATGTAAAACCAAAGATACAGACAGCATTGACTGCAAATGATTAAGTAGATACCATCTCTTCTTCTTGCCTTCTTCTGTCAACTGATTCAAAGACATCAATTTCTGGCTCACTGCAAGAAAAGAGGCAACCATTGATATTCTACTCCAAATAAAAAATTGAGCAAAAAAACAAACAGATAAATAAGTAAATAAATTTTGCTTCATTTGAAAGGGGGGTAGCTTTTCAAACAAATGAAAGTAATAATGACATTTAAACCAGTGACAAACAAAATCAGGCAAGAGAACAATGGGTTTGCAATTTAATCAGCAACAAATTCCAACACGCTAATGACTTTTGATTGTGAAATTTCCAGCCCTTCTCATTTTGTAGATAATTCTACTCGGAGGAAAAATAAATAAAAAATAGGGCAGTAAACTCATCATTGCTTATGAAAAACATTAAATATCAACAAAATCAAAGAAAACAATTAGGTACCATGGTCTACAGTGGCTCCATCTTTTCAAGAAACCCATGCATGGATTTTTTTTTTCTTTTTCTTTATTATAATGGACATGCTTAAGCTGGAACAGGAACGATGCATCTAACTAGTCCACCTTATTTAGATGAACAGTAGCATAAAACTATCTACCTGCGAGCTAAAAGATCATTTAAGGCATCATCATCCAATACAGGTGCAGCTTCCTCTTTCTTACACTCACGCAAAAGGGTCTCCAAATATTCTCTTCGATCTTCAGCACTGTGGTAAAAAGAATTTCAAGAAAACTTAGAAACAGCTTTAGAAGTATGCAACAGAGCAAGTATATAGGCAACTAACCTTGTATTGTTGTCAAAGAAACCAGCAGTAATGCTCTGATTCGCAACTCCCAGCTTGTGCTCAGCTGCAGCTCTGACTTGTTCCTCAACAGTTTGAACCTTGTGCAAAAGAAAAAACCTCAAGCAGTTACATATAAGACTCTAAATTAGGGACAATTTAATTTCAAGACGTAAATAGAAGAGAAGGAGTGGTTATAGCTTATAGATGTACTTTTGTCTTATAAACAAAGGGGAAGTAACAAGGGGGAAGTGCCTACAGTTTCAAATCGAAGCACAAGTACATCCTTCTTCTGGCCAATTCTGTGAGCCCTTGCCTGTGCTTGCAAATCAACCTGAAGATTTACCAACCAAAAAACTAAAAACTTTAGACTTGGAATTGTATGTTATAAACTCAAAATTTAAGTTAATGAACAGTAATTTTGTAAATTGCCTGTGGATTCCAATCAGTGTCGAATATTATTACTGTATCTGCAGCTTGAAGATTTACTCCTACACCACCAGCCCGAATGCTATCAAAATCATACAAATGTCAGTACCATTAACAGGCAAGAGCACATGCAGACACACATCAAGACATATGAACAGCACATCAAAGCTTTTATAGTTTCCATTTTCTACTTTCTAGCAAACCCCTAAAAGTGGAATCAAGCACAAAGCAACCTAACTTTAAGGCCAAGAACGTGACAGTAGCGTAACTCAGTGACATTAAAAAAATAATGCTGGATTTTTAGACCCTATATGGGAGTGTTTCTGTATAAGGTGCATCTGTTAGAGGCACATAAGAACTTTCATAAAAAATGAAATGCATCCTCCATCTAAACCTAGCTGTGCTTCCTAAGAAAGTAATAAAGTGCTCCTCTCAACCCCAAAAACCTATGTCTATTTCAGACAAACGAAATAAAAGGCACCCTTATCTGAAAGTCGTTTTGACACCACCAAACACGCCCTTTTTTGCTTCCACTTCATATGTAAATCTAAATCTCTCCCTTTATTGACTTCTCAGGTAAAAATATAAAAGTGGAAAAAAGGGGGAGGGGGGATAGTTATCTTAAAACCTCCAAGAACCTGAGGTTCCAGTAACCATTGAACCACCTAGTCAAAGCATACAAAAATATTTACACAATACATGAAGAATCACCTGAGAAGAAATATAAAAAAGGGAGAATCCGGGTTGTTGAACATATCAATGAGGGCACCGCGATCACCCCCAGATGTATGTCCATCCAGCCTAAGGTACCGATATTGTTTATAGTGAAGATATTCCTCCATAACATCAAGTAGCCTAGTCATTGTGGAAAAGAAAAGAACCTACACAGTAACAAGTTTCATTAAGTTGTAGTCCAATGTCAAACCAAAAAACTAGAATATTCGAAAGAGACATGAATACATATTAAAGAATGAGAGGATAAGTAAACAAAATATTCATGTGGCTAGAAACAGGAAAAAAAGCCTTCCATACCCTATGATCTGTCTCTTTTAGTTTGGGAAGCAATCGATCTAGCATCTCAAGCTTCCCACAAAGCCTTATAACTGGGGGTAGATAATGATTTGGTATCAAGTTATCAACCTACAAGAAGCAATAAGATAAAAAAGTTTATCTTAATTGGGAACTCAGGGAAAACAACAGAAAGCCTTGAGAGCACAAGATAACAATGACAACTGCTTCTCGTCCCTTTCGGTATCTTTAGGAGAGCAAATAGGAACTTAAAATGAACAGGTAAAGAACATACCTCCTCTGCATGAAGCTGGCTGAGATATGGATGATTACATATATTTCGAAGCTCCATAACAGAGTTGTGCACTGACCGCGCCTGCAACCAATATGCAGATATTATAATAACAGATGCATTGTAATTCACCTGTCTTAATGAAAGTGGAATTAAAATACCTTGGAATTTCCAATTGTACCCAAATTGTCTTCTACCCTCTTCATTAGAAGCTTCTGATAAGCAGAAGCCTCACATCTTACAAGTCTCTCAATCTTTTCAGGTAGTTGATTCTCAACCTGCCACAAAGAATATAAAATTCCACAACATTAAACATAGTGACTTGCCATACTCAAGTTTAAGAAAATAAATGGTTTGTTAATGACAAAACAGAAACTTCGATAAAACATCAGCAAGGCCCCAGAAGCAATATATTTTATACCAAAATTTCTTGATGTAACAAACACCATAACAAATCAAATACAACCAGTAAAGGCACTAAGAACCCAAATAAAATATTCAGGAGTCAAGTCAAATTGGGCCTCATCAATCATATGATCGACTTAAATTTGCATATCCTAATTAAGCGGCCAAGTCTACACGTGCCTTCTACACAAAAGTAATGAAATTAACAAGGATTTTGTTGTTCAGCAGCCATCTCGGCATTCCTAGTATAGAACTAGCTAAATCCTTTACGAGCACATGTAGCCCGGATAAGAGGCTGGACTGGCTTATTTAAGAATTAGTCACATGTTAGGTAGTTACATACACTACAATGGGCAGGTCCACTTAAGAGAAGACGCGGGAGTTCCGCCTGCTTATTTTCGTAGGGTCAAGCCAGGATACATTTTATCAGCTTTTATCAAACTCAAGACTACGTTATCTAAGTTTTATTATCAAATGAAGGAAGCCAAAGAACAAAGCTGGCTGCAGTTGAAATGTATGGCTTGGGGCTATGAATTATTAATTTCTGGATAAACTGGATGTAGGTGATAAAAGTTGGCTTGGAATAAAATAAATGAACTTATTTAACTGAGTTCATTGTTCCCTAAAAAAAAAAAAAAAAAAAAAAAACCTGAGTTCATTGAAGAAACAAAATCTACACTATTTATCTTATGTTCAGTTTACTTAAGACATTTCATTCATATTAATTAATTTTTCTTACCTCAGATGTTTCAATATATTTGTAAAATTATCATAGTTGATATATATGGTCATTTAAGTCTTAAGAACTACAGCAGTATAGTTCATATGCTAAATACAAGATAATAATACATAGAAATTGGAAGTCCAACACTGACAAACATAAGACAATACTAGATTGGGTCCAATTAAGGTCAGACCAGCCCAAAATAATAGTTCAGTCCAGTCTAGTCCTGCCCACTAAGGAGCCCCTTAGTTTCTAAAATGACTGGGATGTATGACATTCTCATGGAAAAGGCACAATGTTAGCATTCCAAGTCATTTACAAAAGTTATGATGACACAAAAGTTTCCCTGCCCGGAGCACCAACATAAATGGATACACAAAGAACTCCAGAGAACCACAAGCATGGTAGAACCCCAAACACGGATGCATGCCTGTATGTCTACACATCATAATAGGGATACTAAATCCACACAAGGCATAAGAATCCAATATGGCAATATGTACCAAAAACACACTTTCCAAATGGCAAATGCTATTGATAAGCTAAAAATACACTTTCGGTACCTTATGCTTCAGCCTCCGGAGGACAAATGGTCGAAGTACTTGGTGAAGACGGTTTATGATCAATAAATTCTCTTCCTCAGACAGCAAGGCCTTGTCAACATAAGCCAACAACAAGTATGTAACTATTAGATTTTAATGTAACAGGAGTCATAAGAGAATGTCAATGACTCATACAATCTTCCAAAGCTTACTTGCTCAGCTGAGTTATCACCACTACTTTCAAATGGTTTGTTGAACCACTGAGAAAAATCATCTGATGAATTAAAAATATTTGGCAACAAGAAGTTTAATAGCGCCCACAACTCCTCAAGATTATTCTAATCAAACAGAAATAAAAGGTAATCAGGATACCACATTTGTACGCCAACCAAGGTAAGACAATACATATTTACTACACCATCACGGACAATGAGTGCTAACAACAACAAAAGAAGAGCACAAGATAATAAAAGCCTGAAACCTGTAATGGAGTTCCAGTTAACAGCAATCTGTGAGAGCTCTGATAATGCTTCAACTCAGCGTTTAACTTGCAGGAAGCATTCTTTATCCGGTGACCTTCATCAATTATTATATAATGCCAATGTATTTTGCTTAGTTTAGGTCTGTCATGCTTATTCATCAGATACTCGTATGTCGTAAGGAGAACATTAAATTTCTGTTGAACTATTCTTTCCCTGCAATGTAAAGTACCTCCTGAGCCACTGTATACCAAAAGTATAACACAAAATGAAGTAGCTGTTTGGTTTTATGTGATTACTTGAATAGCCTACGTCTCTCCTCAGGGGCACCAGCATAGACAATGCTAAGAATACTAGGGGCCCAAAAGTTAATTTCTGACTCCCATCCAGGTAAAACTGAAGATGGCACAACCACTAGAAAAGGTCCTCGGTCATTTTTTGTTTCCATCAGGTAACAAATTAAAGAAATTACCTACAAACAAACATGTTACAGAGTTTACATGTGTAAACAGGTAACAAAATGCCATAAGTCTAGGGAGATCGAGTATCAATCCCTACCTGAACAGTTTTACCTAGTCCCATTTCATCAGCCAGAATACCATTCAAATGATTGTTGTATAGTGACACCAACCACCTTAAGCCATTCATTTGATACCTGAAGATAAAAAATACTGTTATTGATAAAAACACTTCCTCAATCTTTTCCAATGGATACGACAATTCTAAAATTGTTATTAAATTAGACCATTTTAAAGTTGAGGAAAAAAAATTCAAGCGTTTATCCATCCCCAACCACCAAAAATATATTATATTTACAAATATATAAATATGACAAAGCACATTCTACTCACTCTCTCAATTTTCCACCGTTAAGAATAGATGGCTGCTCAGCGACAGTCTCTTTTATACTGCAAAAGTCAATGTTGATTGTAAGATACTTTGGCATACCGTGTAAAGGAGAAAGTAGTACAATTGACAGCCTCAAGAAAGCAAGACTTTATTTCTATAAAGAATTAATGTTCCAAGAGTTATGGTCAGAAAGGAATTTTTTTAAAGAGGGATTAGTAAAAGGAACCGGAGCTTAGCTCAGTTCAACCACCACTAAATAAATGTTAGGTGGTGAGGGATAGCTATTCCAAAGCAGCAAATAAAGTTTAATAAACAATAAACCCAAGATAAAGAAGCCATATCAGTACCTATGAGCCATCAAATAGTACTTCTCATTGCTCTCCATGTAATGCTGCAAAACAATAACAAAATGAGCAGGGACTTAACTAGGAAGTGAAGTGCACAGAGAATAAACTTGCCTTAGCCTGGTCACTTTCATCTTCATTTTCAAAAGTAGGCTCACTCTTCTCCACAACACTTGCAGTTCCACTATCATCCATATCATGCTCAAACCGGCTTGCCAAAGCCTTTGCATCTCGTAGTTTGGAACCGAGCTTTTGAAGATATTTCTCAGTCTCTTTGAGAAGTTGCTTAACACGGTCAGATTTGGCATCCTAGCATGAGTTCCAAAAATGTTATGTAAAAAGAGTAAACTTAAGATGCAATGCCGAAGTCAATAAAACTTTAGAACATACCTGCACCATTCGCAGATATCCCTCCACGTCATTGATCTTCAATAAATTTATCTTTTCACGTTGGATCCTATCAATCTTCTCACGATGGATACGTTCCTTCCTTTTATGGAACTCCTTCACATATTTATTGAAAACCTTCCAGCGCTCTCTCTTAAGTTTAAACACATCATCCAGTCTTTCCCTGAAGTCCAGATTAGAAAGCAAGTAAGAAAACCGCGCACTTTGGAAACTGAATTGACTATGATATATAGAATAACTGACTACTACAGCTCCTCAAAAACATAGAATGCTAAAAATGTTGACATGCGCTGGACAAAGATAAAACACGTACTTGTGAACCTCGATATCACCAAAGAACTCCTTTTGCCTCTCCCGAATTCTCTTTTGTCGCTCTTCCTTCATCTTTTGCTCAAACTTTTCAAGTTGTTTAATCCTCCTACCATGTCTATATTTCTTACAACTTCTCAAGTGATCCATTTCAGTACCGATTGGTTTGAAGAAATCACCCAAAAATTCACTGCCGAAACGAGTCAAAACATGGTTTTAAGTGTCTGAGAAATAAAATAAATTATACAGAAATAGAAAATTGCACTAATTAGACTGAAAAGATAAATATATACTCCCTCTGTCCCAAACTTTTTAGGAATCCAAAAGAATTTTACCCACGGTGAAAAACTTGAATAATTTCTTTCCACTTTTTCCACAAGCCTTAGTCATCTCTTTAAATGAATTTGATACGAAATACTTCATAATTTTAGATTTAAAAATAAGAGAAACAATTGAATGCAAACACCTGAGAAGTAGGAAAGCATTAAATGGTTACTTAAATTTTTATAGAAAAGCATTAAAACATTTCCAAATAATTTGGTAAGAAAGCATTAAAGCAGTACTTAAAATTTATGTTTCTGCAGCACAGATAATTCTTTAAAGGGACAGAGGAGTAATTGATCTTCACTTGGAAGCCTGTATAGGATAATCAATAACCTCCGGAGACGGCGTTGCAGCCCCAAGAGTTGTAGCTTTTTCAGTTCTATGACGCTTTTGGTTTTTGCAGATATATCCTCAGAAGAGCTCACATTTTCCTACAAGTAGTAAAACGCACTACATGAGGCAAAAACAGTATTAAAAATAGGATAAATGAACCTATCACACCAGCCATCTAGTTGAATTTATCTTTTTGCAAAGATATATTCACATATAGATGAGAATTGAGTAAATATAAGATAAGTATTTGGTCAAAACATGACATGGAGATCATTTAACAACTTCAAGAATACAGAGCAAACAAGATAAGTAGTTGAGTAAATTCCTTTCCATAACGGATGTATTGTTTGAAGGGTGAGTTATAGGAATAATGAAAGCACATGAAAAATAACAATAAAATAATTATCCCTTCAGCGATGTAAACATTACGATGTGCCCAAACCGTTTCTTGTGGAACTCTGTACAGCACCATGTAAACACAGTTGTGATGCAATTCATAACAAAACAAACACGGCAGTGCATGGTTGGTTAAGTTCTCTTTTATGCGTCTCTTACTACGTGATCTGTGCTTCATACAAGCTATGACGTGCCAACTTACTGAATAAGTAAACTGGCCCAAATAATTTGATTCTTCTATTCTTCCAGCAGAGAGATGCACCTATGATCTGTTGGGTTTTTCCAGCCCATGATGCGTTGTCCTAAGTCTATTAGGAATTATAGTCTTAGAAGATATAGTGGTTTTCCCAATTGGAGTGGTTTTCCCAATTGGAGTTGTTTATCCAATTGGAGTTAGTTTCTCAATTAGAGAAAGATTCATAACTAGATTCAAATTAAGAATAGTAATCCTTATTGAAGAAGACCTTTATTATGTCTATATAAAGGGGCTACTGTACTAGTTTTGAATGGGAGCAAAACAATAAGTTGTATACCACTCAAGGGATTAGAGTGAGAGAATATTGTAAGGGCAAAGTGTGTGCGAGAGAAATGAAAAGAGATAAAGAGTGTATTTCTTGTTCTTGTTCTTTCAGTGTGTGCGAGAGAAAAGAAAAGAGATAAAGAGTGTATTTCTTGTTCTTGTTCTTTCGGGCTTATCATCAAGTTCTTAATTCTAGAGGCTTGGTAAGATTATTGGTTGTACTCATTATTGATATAGTGAAAGATTTTTGTTGCTGTCCCGTGGACGTAGGCACATACAGTCGAACCACGTTAATTCTTTGTGTTACTTATCTTGGTTAGTTTGTTTTCGATTTCCCGAGTTTGTTTTGTTTTTGCCATTCTTAAACGCGAGATTCACAACATGATCAAGTAATTTTAGAGCTATTGCCTTTAAGCCCGACCCCCTAAAACATTCTTAATGCTACTCTAACAAAGAAAAAAAAGCACAAAATCCATACATGGTTAACTTTTCTGGATGGCTCCATTGTTTTCATAGAAGACATACATGGCACACGGCATTCTGGACATTTTTCCATATTAACCACTTAAGTTAGATATATTATTCTTTTAAGTCAAAAATCAATCATTCCCCATGAAACTTCTAACACAGATAGATCAGTTTTAAAGTATACATCAGCATAATACTTTTTTAAAATAGTCTAAACTACTCTAATTTGGTAGAGAGGGGCTCAAACTTGGGAGCCAAATGGCCTAACCCACATCTGCATCAGCATAATTCTACTTGAAATCTGTGAAGATGATCCCTTTTGTATTTCACAAAAGTCCAGTTAGGGAACTAAGGGTATCGCTGAATTTCAGCTTTACAGCAACCCCTCAAACCCCAACAATCCACCCCCCCCCACCATGCGCGGGCACCCCTCTTTCTTTTCCCCACGAAAAAAAAAAAAAAAACCTCAGTAACTACAAATTAAGACCATAACAATTACCAGGCAAGAATTAAGAAAATTATGTTTTGGGGTAATAAAAGAACAACCAATATTTGAAGACACATAATGCTTTTATAACAGACCTTTAACTTCTGGAAACATGTCGCAATTTTTTGCTTCGCTTTTTGCTGTTTTAGAATCCATGTTTGTTCATCCAAAAGCTTCTTTTTCTGCTTATCCATAATCCACTTCTCTGACATAGTGTACTTTGGTGAAGGTGGCAAGTCAGTATGGTTGTCGTTCTTTACTTGTCCTGCAGTTCAAAAAGGTCTTTTTTCAGAGATTCACAAATGATTTCTTACACTCAAAAAGCATTTCTTTTGAAATACAAATACCTATGAACCATCTACACCACAATTACCAGAAGTAGCAAGATCACACGAAAGAAAAAGGACAGATTGATTTAAATATATTGTTCTCACCCTGAGACAAATGTTTCGGCATGATCTGAGCATCCTTTGATGCAACTGCTGTGTGATGGTCATTTCCAATTCCAGAAATTGGTTTCCAAGGATCTCTGAGTGAAAAAGAAGAGGTTTGGCTAGCCCTTGCAACTTGCAAATGTCCATTTTCCACATTGTTCAAAGGATTAATGACAGTTGAACCACTCCTTGCACCTGAAGATTCGGGATGCTGTGATGCAATAGTTAAACATGCCGGCGAGATTGTGGTCTCCTGGGTCTGCATCTCAGATTCTGGTTTCTGTAAACCAAGAAGATGGTTTCTTTCTTCTGCAAGTACAAAGTGATCTGGAGGTGGGCCATTCTTTTCTTCCATTTTTGGGTTCTCGGTTTCTTTGGACAAAGAGTTAGTCTCAGGGAATTTTCCAGTGGACAAGGCACTGGGCAGCATTTTATCAGTGTCCCTCTCATTGTTAAGTCTTCCATATGGTGTAGTAGCATCAGAAATGATATTTGGCTCATTTGAAAACTGTGTTTTTACTTTACGGTCAATGAACTCTTTATGAGGCCCATCTGTATTGCCACCTGAAATTTTTTAAATTAATACATCAAGGCCAATAATACAAAGTTATTCAACTCTGGGGCAGCAAGTCAGTAAAAATTGAGGATTTAGATAAAAATGAAAATAGTTACCTTCTTTAGGGAAAATGTTACCAAGTGCAATTTCAAGATGTAGTTTCTTTGGCATCAAACCATTTCTGCACGCAACACACCAGAATTTAACCCAACTAAGACAAAGATTTGAACTGGATAGCATCTTGACCAAATAGGATAACATCAGATCCAAAATATAACTGTCTACCTGAAGGCTAAAAAGACAAGGCACTGCGCTCTGAGCTGTTTCAACTGCTGTTCCTGGAAAGGTGTGCCAGGAGATCCAGAAGCCAAGTGAACTGGAGACTTACCAGTATCTCTCATAGCTGCACTTCTCAGCACACTCATTTCTACTGCACTATTTTGCCTGCCAGCCTATGAACAAACGTGTCAAACGCAAATTACAGCACATGCACCAACTTTCAAACAGCAAAGGAGCAAATAATTTCATGTGCGGAACAGATTTCCAGATAATATACCAGTATTAACTAAACATGAGGAACGCCATTTAAGCAGACTGCTAAAATGAAAAAAAAGAAAGATCTAACTCAGACAAACCACATGCAATATACACATTCGTAAGAGGGTTTTTATCCCAAATGGTCCCTGGCATTGATCCAACTCCTCATTTTGGTCCCTCAATTTCAAAATCGATAAATTTCATCCCTAACTTTCACCAACGCACATCAATTTGGTCCTTCCGTTAGAATTCCGCAAATTTTTTGTTAGTGTGCTGGTGTGGCACACAATAAGTCCCACTAATCCAATCATATTGTGCCACATGGATTATTCAATAAAAACCATTTTTGTATAAGATTTAAAACTAAAAATTGATAAAACAAAATAAACACTAATAAAAAAGGAAGGTATAGCCCAGATGAAGACGATGGGTTTGGAGATGTGGGTTTTGGGGGAGGAAGAAGAGGAGTGTTTCAAACTCTCGGTGAATGCAGAGGAAGGAATCAACGAGTTCTCAGAGCCATTGGAGGGAGAGGAGGTTCCTGGAGGAAGAAGAAAGGTGGGCCGTGGACGAAGCAATTGAAGACATGGGTTTGGAAGGAATCAAGGTCCAATCAACCACCACCCACTACATGGTTGTGGCTCTCCATTGAATCCAACTGATTACATCTCAGCTGAAGACTAAACGTCCGATTTGGTTGGAACCAAATGATGAGTATTCTGCGCTGGCATTTCTCTAGCATCCCACAACCCCAATTGGGAAAAAAATTCAATCTAAATTAGATCAAATCAAATCCAAATTCAATTCAAATTTAATAGGATTATAAACAACTAGAGACAATGTGGAGTCAGTTCAGGGAGGCCAAGTGCTCTAGTGGTGTCATGGTGCCTTCCTTTTTCTTTTTTAGCATACCCAGTGATGATGTCTTTTTTTAGTTTTGGTTTTTAGTTTCTTATTTTACTTTAGCTTGTAAATCTTAAACAAAATAGTTGCTTACAGTTAACCCACGTGGCGCCATATGATTGGATTAGTGGGACCCATCATGTGCCACATCAGCACACTAATAGAAAATTTGACAAAATTTTAACAGAAGGACTAAATTGATGTGCGGTTGTGAAAGTCAGGGACCAAATTTATCGATTTTGAAACTCAAGGACCAAAATGAGGAGTTGGATCAATGTCAGGGACCATTTGCGAGAAAACCCTTCTTAAAACTAAATGTTTTCATAAGATCTGAAAGACAAACACAAATAGAATGTATATTGTATGAGCTATGTTTTCTTTTAGTATGTCTTTCCCACATATATCAAGTAAGAATGCTAGAAACAACTTAATTCAGCATGATGGACAAGACTAAGTACAACACCCTTGTTTTGCCTAAAAGTGGAGAACATAATGGATATAGATTAAGTACCTGAGATGTCTTATTTGCATCAGCTAGTATATCAGTATTTCCTCCATCATGCTCAGAGACCTTTCCAGTTGAGGCCAATGTGCTGCTGTAATGGATTGGACTTGAGAATCCAGGTTCTGCTACTTGAAATGAACCAGATGCAACTGGCACACCTCCTTGAATCTTGCCAAAAGAGCCTGAATTTCCAAGAATACTATGTGAGCCTTAATTACTCAAAAACCCAGGATATAGTAGAAGAGTTTCAGCCTTAATAAGATTAACCTCATTTAAGAATCATTTATTTGTTCGTATATTAATTCAATACAAAAGAAAGCGGAGAAGATATCATTCCAAAATATAGATAAGTCATATTTCAATATAATTCAACCGAAGTTGATACCAAATCAAATAATCCCACGGAGAGGATATTGTTTAAGGACATAGTCCAAGGGGTCCATGTTTTTTTAATTCCATTTTATACCAGTTATATTTGGAAAATCTTCAATTTTGCGAGCTGAAATTTCAGATGCATTGATTTCCAACGCGTTAATTCCACAATAATATCAACGTCTTTCCAAGTTCTTACTTGATCCAGGTGATGGAGATGTTGACTGCTGCATCGGAATCTCTGCTGAAATATTACCTGGGATGGCAACATTAGAAGAAAATCTGGGAACTTGAGATTTTTCAAATGGAAACCCAGCTTTACTTTGATTCCATATGCCCCTAGTGTCATGTGTAGGAGTAAGAGAAGTGGCTTGCTGCTGTGCTAACGCATTATGAGTAGAGGAAACTTCCATTTCTTCAGGGTGATTTGAACTCAGAGCCCGAGACATCGAGTTGCTAGTATTTGTCACATCCAACTGCTTTTCTGAAGGTTGACCTTCTTGCTTGGCTCTGAGCAGTGGTCTCATGCTTCCAGAGAACGATGTAAAATGTTCCATTTGACCACCACTCGGACCAATATTAAAATTAGCATTTTCACCACCTTTACTTGAGAAACCAGCCAGTGGTTCGGCCTTGTTTATCTTTCCCTTCCTTGTAGTAACTGCAGCGTTTCCAGTATCAAGATGTTTAGGGTTTTCAGGATGCGGTTCCATAGGCATGGATGTATCTTCCCTCTTCCTCTTAGTGGTGGGCTTTTTACCATCCTTTCGATTCACCTGTTTGTTTGCGTCGCGCCTTTCTTGTGACTGTGAATTGGTAGACCTAGAGTCTAAACTAGATGGACTTTCATGATCAAAAGACTGACTACTCCGATGAGTTGCAGATCCTTGATAATAATCATTCCCTGTACTGCTAGGACCAACAGGTGGTCTGCTTGAAGAAAATGTGTCCATATTAGACATCTCATTTTCGGTCAAGCCTGCTTTGGAATCTTTTGCAACACCAACAGCATGAGAAGAACCTGCAGAAAAATGGCTGCCAATTATCTCACACTGGCCAAGATAGTATACTGAGCCAATTTGATTGAAATAAAATGACATTGACTGATTGACCTCAAAATGTGACTGAAAAATTACCTGTTTGAGTTCCACCAGACATAGGAAGGCGTGAGGACTTCAAAGCTTCAATATCAAGACCATGCTGATTAATAACAGTCTCCATGGCCCTAAGTGGGTCAAGGAAGATAAGTTAGAGAAACGTATAAGATCCCCCCCCCCCTCCCCCTTTCTCTCTCCCAGTCCCCAAATAAATGAAGATGATGGAGAAAGACCCAATTCACAAATCAGCTATGAGAAATCAAAATTTTCGGGTTATGAGTTGACATACACGCAGAAAAAAATTGAAATACCAAAACAAAAAGAAAACCCATGAAAAATAGGAGTGTTGAAAAAAAAATTAAAACAATAGGTAATGCTAAGATAAGCTAAGCACAAAAAAACAGAAACATAGCTTAATGTAAAATGATCTCCATACTAAAGCAATTTAGTCTTGAACTAAGCTTGTTTTTTGCCAAAACTAAGTAAACTATTTAACTACCTAACCAATATTATTGGATATGGTACAACTATCCCCACTATGTGGGGTAAATACCCGAATAAAAGAAAAGGCAGATTCATCCTCCAGATTAATAGGTATAGAAAACTTATTTTCTTGGACACTGCAAGCTCGATGGTACCAGATAATTAAGTAAATTATCTTTAGGATTCACCATGTAAAATGATAACAATGCTAGCACAGTTTTGAAACTTTTTCACATGTCTAGATAACTAATGCAATCTTAAAATTTCTGATTGTCCTAATATTTTTTTGAGAAGACTGATTGTCCTAATATAAGTCCGGAATTAACAAAATACCATCAAATAAGGTGAACAATGATTAACCTTTACCTTGATATCACTTGATATGGCATGGAATGTTCCTTCCCACTTGACTTCATGTGTTGTAGTATCTGCATTTCCCAAACACAAAGCAAATAAACACTTGTACATGCACGTCAATAAATAGGAGCGAACAAAGGGCGGGGTGAGATAAAAAGACCAATTGTCAAGAGAAAACAGCACAAACCACGTAAAGCTTCGTAGCAAGTTTGGCAGGCTCATCTTTAGAATCTTGAATGAGTTTGTGGAGAAACTTGGCTGCTTCCAACTCGACATTATGTGAAGATGCCATCTCATTCAAACTGCCATGAGCATAGTCAATCAATCAATTTTCCGGTTCAATTTTTGGAATCAGATGCTCAATGCATATATATGGTTGAGAATTACAGTTTTGATGTATAGTAGTAACCAATAGCTTTCAGCACCAAATGGGGGAAAATACCACAAAGACCACCTAGCAATTACAGCCGCTTGTTGACATCTCATAAGCACCCATGACTAGAAGTGTTACAAGACAAAAACACAACTACTATCCCCCTCAACTACTGAGAGGGAAAGAGAGAAGCATTGATTGTAGACGAAATAAGTGCATTTTATTTAGGTAAAGTAAACAATTGATTAAAACATCAAATGGTGCCGATATAAACTTTCTATTTGAGAAATGGATCAATTAGATTGCTACTTCTACTTCCCACATACCTTTCTAACTAATTTCCAAAAGTGGCTAAGGCAATAATACTGTCAATTTAAACCCACTTTTCAAAATTCACTTTAAACAAAAACCCAAGTCAATTTTCACATACTAGAACCAAAAAAAAACCCAATTTTTTTACAAAAACCCTACCTTGGCCCTTTTGCAGGAAAGTTGAGCTGAAAAATAGTAAAACACAGGCAACTCCTGTCCCAAAACCCAAGAAAATGATATTTAAGAAGCAAAATTTCGGTCTCGAAAATAAAAACTGACACTGACAGCCCGTATTCGAATTCGTTTCATCAGCTTACGGTGACTGAGTTCGGAAACAGTAAAAATTTGTGGACGGCAATATAAAATACTAAGAAAAGCGGCAGCTTGAAAGGCAAAAAGGTTTACCTAATCGGAGATCCGACCCGGAATTCGACGGAGACGCTGCTGCAAGCTGGACAGCTTCATAAATAAGAGTCGGAGCGAGAGCGAGAATAAGCAATTGTGAAAGCCCTCGCCCTGAGACATGGTAATTTGCGGAAACTGCTCTTCGTTGTGTGAAAGACTTTAACTCCGTCTATGTGAGAGACTTCAACTCCGTCTAAATTAACAGAGAGCCCTTTCTTTTTCCTTTTTTTTTTTTTTTTTTAAGAAAACTAATAAAAATGACTTGAAAACTTTGAGTTTTAACAATAAAGATAAAATAAAGGTAAAGTGAATAGTACCAGGAACTCCATCTATGTGAGATACTTTAACTCAGTCTAAATTAACTTTCCTTTTTTTTTTTAGAAAACTAATGAAAATGACTTGAAAATTTTGAGTTTAACGATAAAGATAAAATAAAAGGTAAAGGAATAGTACTATGATTGACTTTTTAGAGTAAAAATGTGGTTTTTCGTTAAAGTGAACAGTATCGAAAGCTTTTCGTTAAAGTTTCCTTTTTTTTTTGGAAAAACAAGGAGCCCTTTGTGCTTATCGATTATTTAGTGTTGTAAAATCGACGATGTGTGCAATAAAATAAATAAATAAGACATAAAATTTACGAGGTTCCTCTACAGTCAGTGTGACTGGAGTATATCCTCAAGGCAGCAGTAGTGTTTTTATATATAATCAGAAGTAATAAAATTACAAAGATAACTTCCCACTCTATTTCCTCTCTCTCTACCGTGAGCTTTGTGGCTTCTCACTTCTTCTTCTCTTCTTCCTTTTATCACCACCTTTTGAACACTTGTAATGCTTTATTTATAGAGCAAACATTTTAAAAAGCAAACAAAACACTATTAAACTTGTGAAAGGTTTACTATATGCATGTGGGCATACATACCCACTATTTACAACACTCCCCATTGGATACCTACATAAGTCTTTCATTAACTTGTTAAAATCTTGATCTGTTTTTGGATGCTCCCCTGATTTCAAATTCTGTAGGCTAATCAATGATCATTATGCTTCAGTCCCTTAGCGAGAAGAGTTGCCGAAAAATGTGCTTTATTTGTTGCTAACTTTCCACAAGCTTATTCTTGAACTGGGCTTGAGGGCTTTCTGCTAGACTTGCATCAAATGTCTGAATTTACTTCTTTTATCTGGAGTAGAATTTGATTCAAGGTGGTGAACACTTGATCTTGAATCGGACTTGTGATTTCTTCAAGGATTTCGAAGCTTGATCTTGAATGAAATTAGACCATGATGAGCTTCACGTGGCAAATGATCTTTGGTTTTGTCGGGGATGAATCAACACGTGTTTGTTGCACTTGTCTCTACATGCTTCAATATATCATTTTCACTTGCCTTACTTGTTCCCCTTGCATAAGTGGTATTTTCCTTGCTTTTTCCTCATGCATGTGTGGCATCTTCTCTTCTAGGATTTGTCAACTGATGTAGGAGTGGAATACATGATGCTGCACAATTTTCTAATTCATAGTCCTTTAAATAAATATTTATATAAATTGATGCTACACAATTTTCTAATTCATAGTCATTTGAATAAATATTTATATAAATTGATGTTGCACAAGTATTATGTTGATTAAATAAAACTAATGTTGCACAAGTATTAAGTTGAAAATTATTAAATGCTTATGGGGGGGTTCCCCCAACCCCCTCCCAAAAAAAAAAAAAACTTATGCCAACTGATTAAGATTCTATGAGTTGATATTGCACAAGTATTACATTAAAAATTAATGATTATATAAAATTGATGATGCATGGTGATGCTGCACATATATTACGTTAAAAATTAATGTTTATATAAACTGATGCTACACATTTATGCTGCACATGTATTCGTTGAAAAATATTACATGTTTATGGAGGGGTCCCCCCCCCACCCCCAAAAAGAAAACCTATGCCAACTGATCATGCACGTTTCTATTAACTGATGCTGCATAAATTAATATATATATATATATATATATGATAACTATACTGCAAAAAACAAAAGGAACTTCAATGAAAACCAAAAGCAGCACAACGAAAAATCGCCTTCGCCAAACACTCAATCAAATAAGCTCAAAACCAAATCAAAATCTTCAAAACTAAAAAATCGTGACTGAAAAAACAAGAACAATCCAAAAAAACTAAATGCAATCAATTAAAATTTGAAAAATCAAAGACTCTTTCAAAATCTAAACTAAAATAAATTCAAAAACACACAAACACTTCAAAAATCTAAATTGAAACACATAAAATTCAGAGAGATAAACATGAGATAAACACTTACCTTCGAAGAAAGTTTGAATGATTCGAATAGAAAATATGGCGAGAGATAATTGAGGGAGATGATGAAATATAAATCGGAACATATAAACTTCAGAGAAAGAAAAACAGCAGAGAAAATGAAAATATAATTTGAATGATTCGAATCACCGTCGATTGCTATTTAACAAAATATGGAAACTTCGTTTCTAACGGAAAAACCGGACATGACATCATCTTACGCGGAATTAAAAAATGTCGTTTCTTGAAATGTATAAAAAGTGTTGTCTCAATATATAATTAAGTATTGAAAGTATACTCTAAGTGTAATTTTTCCTAAATACGTTATATGCTTAATTTTAGTAATGGTCCTTGAATTTTACTCCTAGTTTAACTTTAGTCCCTAAACTCTCATATTAGTTTATTTAGTCATTGAACTTAACAATGTGTTACATTATTGGTCCTTTTCACAAACGTTATCTTCTTCTTTTTTTGTTAAATCTAGGGTATATTAGGAACTTCAATTTAAAACTTTAAAAAAAAAATAGAAGAAGCTTAAATACAAATGAAAATTTATGAATTAATATCTAAAACTTAAATCAAAATGAAATTTGAACTATAAAAACACAAAATGAAAAAGGTTGGACTTTAGCAACTTGTAAATACAATGCAATTTCAAAGTTGATAGAAGATCGAACTGTGGCTGGACTTAAACAACTAATAAGTCACATGTTTTTAAAAAAGAGTGATGTGTTACTAAAGAAACTAATATGAGGTTCAACGGTTAAAATTAAACTACAATATTGTTAGCGAAAAATAAAATTAAACTAGAATATATCCCTACATTGTGAAAGATAGTGGGGTGTGAAGAGAAAAAATAATAATTAAATTACACGATCCAACAATCTAAAAAAGAATGAGGATTCACCCCGGATCCTCTTTATGAGGATTTTGGGAATCCTCTAATCACGTTCGTTCATCATATATCGTGCGGTCAGTTTTCGTCAGGTACTATTTATATTCAATTTTAAATAAAAAAATTACAATGATTTCTGACCGCATGATGTACGATGAACGGATATCATTAGAAGATTCTCGGGATCCTCACAAAGAGAGGATTCTCATTCTTTAAGAAATTACATGACCCAAAAATAGTTCAAATTAAAATTTAAAAAAAAAAAAAAAAAAAGTTAATCTCAGCTTACTATCCTGAAGTTTCTTGGTTTTCAACATTTGGTACATGAAGTTTTTTTCATCCTAGAGTGGTACAAAAAGTCATAATTTTGAGACGCTCTCATACGTTCGTTAAGGTTGTTAAATCTATCATTAAATGGTGACGCGGCACCTACATGGACAATAATTATGCGCCACGTGTCAATATTGGCCCATGTGAATATTAAAAAATAAAAAAAAAGGCTAATCTCTATCCCGCCCCTCACCCACCCCACCATCTCCTTCCCTAATTGTCACGCCCTGATCCCGACATACGTCCCGGATCAACACGCGACGCCACCAAATACTCGTATATCTAACATACCCGCCTCCGGGATATGAATAAAGCACCACTCAAGGTCCAAATTGCATAGTTCCTTATACTTTATGGCTGCATCTAACCTCCCCATTAGACTGCCTACGTACTCTCAACAGGGATCAAGTCATTCGTAGTTCGTACAACTCGACATATATTACAGTCTGTTCAAGTCGAAAGGTATAACATTCCTTAATCAAACATATGGACTTGACGAGCATGAATTATTCAATTCAAGCTACATATCAAACCCATATAACAAGTAAGGTTCTATTTCATCCATCATATAAGCCATTATGTTTCAACATAAAATTGCAATTCATAGAATGTAATATATCAAAGAATCAACAAAGCACAATAGTATCCTCTAGTCACATTGATCATTGATCTAATTATATTAATAACAATCATATTCAACATCATTCCACAATCACCTCAAGTAACCCATTCCATAAATCAAGGAGACACGATATTAACATTTAATTATGTTAATCAGTCAACCAGATCATATATCAGTGCACGAAATTTAATAGAGGAATTCTACATAATTCCTTGCCTGGATTCCAAGTAATAACCTGATAATTCTAATTTATATTCACAAGGTCTATTATGGGTAATTCTCATTCATTCGAATATAGGGTTCTAGTCTAACTTAGGGAAATGAGCTAGAGTATGGATTCTGGACCACTCAACGGAATTCAACCCAAGATACGATTCCGGACCACTCAATGGAATCTAAACTAAATTATGATCACCTATTGAAATGTACCAAGTACAACTAATCATCATCATTTCTAAAATGCGTATGGTCCCCCATCGCGGATACACCAAGCAGAACCATAAGCATAATCTCATCGTGCAGGCAATGATCACCCATCGTGAATATACCAAGCATGATCACCCTTGAATACATATGGTCCCCCATTATGGATATACCAAGCAGAACCATAAACATAATCTAATAACATAGGCAGTGATCACCCATCGCGGATATACCAAGCATGATCACCCTTAACAGTGCCCCATCGCGGATATACCAAGCAGGACTGTATTTTGTAGCTCTAGGTAGTGATCACCCATCGCGAATATACCAAGCATGATCACTCCTAGAATGCGTACGGTCCCCCATCGCGGATATACCAAGCAGGACCATAAGCATAGTCTAATCGCGGATATACCAAGCATGATCACCCCTGAAGTACGTATGGTCCCCCATCGCGGATATATCAAGTAGGACCATCTAAATACCACTACTACCTAGTGCAGTTTAGCACACCATCTACCCATATCTCAACCCGTATGAGTTACAATGTAGCTACCTACACCATTAACTTCTTATGGCCACCAACAAATATGTCACACAAGCCTATAAGTTCTACATTATACTTCTAATAAGAT